GCTGGTCGCCCTAGGATAATGTGATAGGCTGAAGGACAATCTATCACCAGAATATTGACCATGACCGTGGAGCTTCAAGGTGCCGCTCCGACAGTGACAGGTAGGGTGATGGACCCTAGGGGATACACCTTCTCCCTTGAGAACCCAATGAGGGGCGACCTGATGGGCTGCAATCTTTCTCTGCCCAAGTTGAGCTTATCATAAGCCTCTGCGAATAAAATATCTGCAGAGCTGCCGCTGTCCACAAGAATCCTTTGCACCTGAAAGTTGGCGACGGTCATAGTGAGCACCAGAGGGTCGTCATGAGGGTGTTGGATTCCTTCCAAATCCTTGTCCGAGAAAGAAATGACCTCGTTGTTGCCATGCTTGGGCGCCTTAAATGGGCGTAATTCATCAGGGTGTCTGACCTTCCTGACATGAACCTTCCTGGCAAAGAAAGATTCTCCCCCTCTTGCAAGCCCTCCAGAGATGGTGTGAATTTTCCCAATAGATTGTTGGTCTTCCTGATTACGGGGTGGTGCTGACGTCTGTCCTCTACCGGCAACATACTGGTGAAGATGACCCCGTTGGATGAGCTCCTCAATCTGCCTTTTGAGGTCATAGCAATCATCGGTGTTATGACCATGGTCGCGATGGAAGCGGCAATACTTGTTTGGATTCCTTCGGTTCGGGGGAGCCACTTTATTGCGGGGTCATCCTGGATCTGTAATAGGATATGCCCGACGGCAGCGTTGAGGGGAGTGAAGGCTTGTCGATTTCTCTAGGGAGTAGGACCAAGCCAGTCTTTGGCAGATACTCTCTCCGTTCTGCTACGCTTGTTATTATTCTCCCTCTTTTCATCTCTGTCTTTGTCTTTTCTTTTCTCTCCAGCTCTAGAGGACTCCTATCGTCTGACCCTTGTAATGTCTTCAACATTCATGTATTTCTGGGCTTTCGCCAGCAACTCTAGCTTGCTCTTTGGTGGACGTTTCATTACAGAGAAAAGAAAGTTTGACGACCGGAGGCTCCCTAAGAAAGCGGTCATGCTCACCTTATCATCGGGCTCCTCGACCTGAAGAACCTCCTCGTTAAAACAAGTGAGGTAGCTCCTCAGGCTCTCATATCGATCCTGCTTTATGTTGAGCAAGTGGGTGGCAGGCTTCTGGTGGTGGCGTCCTCCAATGAAGTGTGATACGAAAGACCTGCTCAGCTCAGCAAATGTGCCAATGGAGGCTGAGGAAAGTTTGGTGAACCATTGCCGAGCGGATCCCTTCAAGGTGGTTGGGAATGCTCTATACATGATCTTGTCGAGGACGTTATGCAGCTGCATCAAGGTTTTAAAAATTTCAAGATGGTCCAGTGGATCCTTCGTACCGTCAAAGGTTTCGACGGAAGACATCTTGAATTTTTGAAGGAGTGGGTAGTTCGCCACATCAGGTTTGAAAGGTGTGTCGGTTTGACTTACGAGGTAGTCTACTATCTCGGGGCCCTGCGCCTTCATGGCGTTGAAGACGTCACCCAATTGATTTTACACCTCCTTAATTTTTTTGTCCCATTTATTGGAAAGAGGTCCTCTGAAATTACCACGAAAATGACTCCCATGCTCCATGCTTTGATTTTCACCCTCGTCCTCTTGGAGAGGAGGGTCTCCACCATAGGGAGCATGAGCAGGGACTAGAGGAGGAGGTCCCTCATGGTGGGCCTCCCTATGTGAGGCGCCCAAGGGAGCTCCCAAAGGTGGGGGCGCCTGAATGGGGAACGCCTAGGTGAGGAGCTCCTTGATGACCAGGGAGTGAAGTTCCTTTGGCTTGAGGTCCAGGTTGCGCCCTTCCTTGTTGCCCAAACATTAACTGCAGAATCTGCTGATTCTGGGCCACAAGCTGCTGCATGGTCTCCAGCATCTGCTGCGCTTTTGGGGCGGGATTGGCAGGCGGAGGAGCAATCTCCTCCTCTCGTGGTGGATTGTCTTCAGGGGGATTTATGACGGTGACGGCTACAGATTCAACAAAGAAAGTGTTTAGGTGAGAATTTTGTCGTTTTTCACAAACGGCGCCAAACTGATGATGCACAAACTTGATTTGCACACCACCTGTCAATTAAACAATATAAAATGTAGTACGTAGAGGGAGAGTAAAGACAAGATTTATAGCGGTTCGGCCAATGAGACTTACATCCACTTTCAATGGCTAGGTTCGCCGAAAATTTTATTGACTCCGGTGTGGTGGGAGGGCAAGAATTACAAGAGAGAGAGAGAGAGAGATGAACTTGATTTTGTTGAGATGTCCCCCCAAGTGTTGCGGGAACTTACAATTTATAGAAGCTTGCGTAGTAATTGAGTAGCTTGACGGTTATAATGGACTGGAGGCAACTTAATAGCTGATGACCTCTCCTCTTCTTGGCGACCTCTCATATCCCTGACGACCTCTCCTCTTCCTCAACGGGCAAAGGTATAACTCCTAGATGCTCCCTGATAGGCTTGACCATCTTGGACCTCATAGGACTTGACTTGGGCTTTTTCCCATTGATTGGGCCATTTGGGCTTGACCCATCACCTCTGATCGTTAAAAAAAAAAAAGAAGTCATTTGCTTGCCGTCATTTCAATAGCAACATTAGAGAGAAAGGTAAGTCTACGGTGTCGAAATAAGTACCGCACAAAAAATTAGATTTCTTGTGGTCAAGTTGCAATTAGGTGGAGTTAAGTTACTATATATATAAAAAATTAACTCTAAAAAGTTAGTTTAAGTGATAGCATGTCACTTGATAGATTTCTTAAGTTAGTATTAGTCAAAGATTTGTTACTCCATAGGGTAAAAGTCCTCATTGGGATCACTAGCCCCTAAATTTAACCCCCGTGTATGAAAACTAGGCTTTGCCCGTGATCCTAAGTTAATTACCGGCCACGTGTCCAAATGAGTTCGGTTGATGAGATTTGAGTGGCTATCCAAAAAAAATAACATCGATTCTTGAAAACCTCCATTTAGGCTTAACTTTACCAAATTGAGTAGTATACTCAATATTTGTTGTGCAATAACTCTAGTATAACATTTTTAAAATATTTTTCGGTACTATAGCCTTACCAATAAAAAAAATATACAGCTTGTGCCAGGACACTGCTAGCAATCTAGCATAAAGAGCCTTCTTCTTCTTGGTGGGCTTTTATCAGCAGCTAGAAGCAATCTAATGTTCATAATAGGAGTAGGTACACCTACTTAAATTGACTTAGACAGGATTCAAGCCTACTGTTCTTATACTAGAGTCAACTAAAAAGCACAACTGTTTTTTGGCATAACTTATCAGAGCTCGTGAGGTCTGTGGATATTATCACTTCAACCCAACCATCTTATTCTAAAAAAAATAAAAAAATAATGGTGTTTTTATATTGAAGGGTGTAAATTAGGGAGGCAAGCACCAAACTCATAAAAGAGTTTTGTCCAAAGTTTAAGTTTATCACCTGAGTTGACAATTTAGTGATAAATCGTATCTGTTTAGAGTTGTTATTGACTCCCACGTATGATTATCAAGTAGAGTTTAATTCACGGGAGTAATACGGTTTACTGCTTGACTTTGGTGATATTGTGGTGACATACTGCTCTTCTAGGTTAGTAGTTGTGACTCAAATTAGATATTTCATAGTGGGAGATTCTTGTGATCATAGCCAAAAGAAGTTGGATTATTATCTACTAATCGACCCTTCCATTTTTTGTGTACAAATAAAAAAAACATTAGAAGAGTTTTTATTTAACCCATCTTGAATAATTTGACTTCTTGTACCAAATCAGAACATAAATAAAAACAATTAACGAAGTCAAACTTATTATTACATTTAGATTTGCAAACGAGTTTGCAACAAATAGAATATGAATAGCTTCTCGTTCATTTTATATCCATATCCATACCCTTATTCATATTCATGGTGGTAATCTAGTCTATGTATGAGAGAGGAATGATAAGTGTTTATTCCACAATTGCTTACTTGTTTTTAGTTTTTTGTTTGACAAAACATAAAAATTCTCCCAATCAAATCATTTCCCATTTTAATACAACTATTTCTTTAACTTCTCACCCTTTTTTTTCTTCTTAATTCCATATATTCATTTTCTTTAATATTACTAAACTAATTGAACATGTTAAGAACGGGACAAATAAATACGTTGAAATGAGTTGATTTCACAAATTCCGTGAATCACCCGGATCTCGATATGTGATGATATATGAATATAAACTACTTGGGGTTTGGTAAATGCAAAATATTTCAGCCATGGCCCAATTCTTGCCAAGTAATTGTTGGTATGCATATCAATGGATTGATATCTGATCTGAATTCAATTAGTACATTGGATATAAATTAATTTTTTTTTATCAATAATTCGAATTTAAATCCGAGTGCAAAACCTTATTTTTATGAATTTGAATTTGTATATATTTATATCCGATCTAATTATCATTCGCCCCGATCCGATCCGAATTATAAATATATATATATGAAATAAATTATGTGATAATTAAAAAAAGTATGTATAATTTATTAAAATTTAGTTAATTAAATTATTTAAATCGGATTAAATTTTAAATTATTAATAGATTTAAATATAGACTACAAAAATTAAAATTAGTCAAATTATCGGATCAAACTTTTAAAAATCGAATTCAAAACCAAATAAGTTAGAATTTGACCAAAATTTGATCCGTCATGGCTTACTTGCAGCCCACAAAACAGGAAAAAAAAAAAAAAAAAAAAACTTGCGGCAGAAGTTTTGGCAAGGGTATTATAGTCATTTGAGTTTATGAAATCTGTAAATCATTACATCACTCTCTCCTTGTTCGAATCTATTAAAACGGTCGTCGCTGACTTGCCATTTAGGTTTGCACGGTTTTATGTATATTGTAAGGTCCCTCTCACAACTGGTAGTGGCAGTTTCTTTAATTTAGAAGCAAAATCAGGGGTATTTGTAACGTTTTTCATATTATAATTCTGTGAATATCCAACTTTGCCATCGTCAAAGTCCCCATTTTCCCTTGGACAGGTCTCTTACAGGTGGACTCAACGCAGAACTAGTGAAGAAAGACGGAGAAATTAGAGAGAGAGAGAATCAAGATCAATACAAAGTTGGCAAAGACTTGAACGAAGGACAGAGAGAGAGTGTGTGTTTGTGTGTTGCGGCGAGAGAGAGAGAGAGAGATTGTCGGCGTTAATGGCGGAAGGGCAAAAACCGCGAAAACACAGCGACGAGAGCGTGAAGCTGTTTGTAGGTCAAGTGCCGAAGCACATGACCGAAGCACAACTTATCGAAATGTTCGAAGAGTTCGCTCTCGTAGACGAAGTCAACATCATCAAAGACAAGGCAACGCGAGCTTCACGAGGTTCTCACTCAAACTGCCTTTTCGAATCTCTATTTTTTAATTCTTTTATGTACTGTTTCTGTTGTGGATCTCACCGCGTGATTCGGAGTTTTTTAAAATGTGTAGTGTTTGATCTTTGTGTGGTTTGAATGTGTTTAGAGCAGTGTTTGAAACCCTAATTTGTGTTGTTTGCAGGGTGTTGTTTTCTTATATGTCCGTCGAGGGAAGAAGCAGACAAGGCAGTGAATGCGTGTCACAATAAAAAAACTCTGCCGGGGGTTAGTATTGTCGTGATCTCCCCTTCTTGTTCTTCTTTAGGATCGTTTCTCTTACATTACTGAAATTTGATAAGAGAGCATAATTTCATTGACTATTATGCAGAAAATTTATCTTAAGTAGTTTTGATTAGTGGTTTGGACTATCAATCACTTCTTACATTTTGATTATTTTGTCTATAAGAAGTGGTGATCTGGAATATTTATGTTTCTTTGTCAAAGCCCTAGGTGTTAAAGACCTATTAAGCACTTCTTACTGCCTACATTGATTGCTTTATCTTCCTTCCACATGTTGGACCTGGATAAACTTAGATATATGGTAATTTATGACCTATATGGTCACCTCTGGAGTGACATTAGAAATGGCATTAGAATGTATAACGGTCAATAACCTTTACTTAGACTAATAGAAGAAAACTATTGGTTCTTTCTTGCAGNCATTTGAGTTTATGAAATCTGTAAATCATTACATCACTCTCTCCTTGTTCGAATCTATTAAAACGGTCGTCGCTGACTTGCCATTTAGGTTTGCACGGTTTTATGTATATTGTAAGGTCCCTCTCACAACTGGTAGTGGCAGTTTCTTTAATTTAGAAGCAAAATCAGGGGTATTTGTAACGTTTTTCATATTATAATTCTGTGAATATCCAACTTTGCCATCGTCAAAGTCCCCATTTTCCCTTGGACAGGTCTCTTACAGGTGGACTCAACGCAGAACTAGTGAAGAAAGACGGAGAAATTAGAGAGAGAGAGAATCAAGATCAATACAAAGTTGGCAAAGACTTGAACGAAGGACAGAGAGAGAGTGTGTGTTTGTGTGTTGCGGCGAGAGAGAGAGAGAGAGATTGTCGGCGTTAATGGCGGAAGGGCAAAAACCGCGAAAACACAGCGACGAGAGCGTGAAGCTGTTTGTAGGTCAAGTGCCGAAGCACATGACCGAAGCACAACTTATCGAAATGTTCGAAGAGTTCGCTCTCGTAGACGAAGTCAACATCATCAAAGACAAGGCAACGCGAGCTTCACGAGGTTCTCACTCAAACTGCCTTTTCGAATCTCTATTTTTTAATTCTTTTATGTACTGTTTCTGTTGTGGATCTCACCGCGTGATTCGGAGTTTTTTAAAATGTGTAGTGTTTGATCTTTGTGTGGTTTGAATGTGTTTAGAGCAGTGTTTGAAACCCTAATTTGTGTTGTTTGCAGGGTGTTGTTTTCTTATATGTCCGTCGAGGGAAGAAGCAGACAAGGCAGTGAATGCGTGTCACAATAAAAAAACTCTGCCGGGGGTTAGTATTGTCGTGATCTCCCCTTCTTGTTCTTCTTTAGGATCGTTTCTCTTACATTACTGAAATTTGATAAGAGAGCATAATTTCATTGACTATTATGCAGAAAATTTATCTTAAGTAGTTTTGATTAGTGGTTTGGACTATCAATCACTTCTTACATTTTGATTATTTTGTCTATAAGAAGTGGTGATCTGGAATATTTATGTTTCTTTGTCAAAGCCCTAGGTGTTAAAGACCTATTAAGCACTTCTTACTGCCTACATTGATTGCTTTATCTTCCTTCCACATGTTGGACCTGGATAAACTTAGATATATGGTAATTTATGACCTATATGGTCACCTCTGGAGTGACATTAGAAATGGCATTAGAATGTATAACGGTCAATAACCTTTACTTAGACTAATAGAAGAAAACTATTGGTTCTTTCTTGCAGGGGCCCATCTCTTACTGATGCTTAGTATTTATTTATTTATTTTTTCCCAATTGATTGGGGGTTAAATTTTGGTGCAAGCAAAGCACTGTTAAAGGAGGCAAACTTACTGCTCAAATGTTCCAAATATGCTGCATATTAAGCCTCAACTGCTGGGTTTAATGTATGAGTACAGAACATACTTTGGAGCTGTAAAATTTTCATGAGTAGTAAGCTATGTTGTTGTCTAAAAATTCTAAATAACACAGTAATTTGTGTCAAAAATTCTGTATCATGCTAGGTTGAGTAGGGGAGGAGTGTAAAACATTTACAATGGAGGTAGGATTTATGTTGCAAGAACTGACGTATTTTTGGAGTGGAAACACACATTAAAGAGGATGGGAATCTCTGGGGAGCCTAACAGGAAGCACCAGGAAAATTTATTTGAAGCTGGTGGAAATAATCGGTTATACAAGAACCTTAATGGGATAAAGGTGGAAGAAGAATAAGGAAGAAGACAAGGAATCATGAAGAAAATATATGAAGCACATAAAAGTTCTCGGCCATTTTTAGAACACTTCTTTTGCGCTAGCCGTGCTTGTCTTTTGTAATTTGGCACTGCTTGCAATTTTTTGAGTAGGTATATCTGGGAAGATCTTTCAAAAATTATGTTGAAGATGAGGTGCATCTAAGGATCAAAATTTCGTTTCGGTGTATTATTTCGGTCTTCAAGGAAATGGAAACATTGCGGCGTATTTCGAAAACGTTTCGACCAATTTTGGAAACAAAATGAAAAAAAATAAAAAAATTTAAAAATTATTTTTTCAAAATATTGGTCGAAATATACTAAAATATCTTGAAATACTTTAAAACATTCAAAATAATTATTCAAATGTATTGAAGCATTACAAAACACCTTATAACACTTCACAATATTAGAATTTCGATTCCATTTGTTTCGATCTCCTCGAAAACAAAAACGTTTTGGATGTTTTGACATGAAATTTTGATTGTTGGGTGCCTCTTTAGGACTCTACAAAAGCGTCAAGTCTTCGTCAAGTCAACGACAAATAATGTCAGCGATAGAGTAATATTATCATTGGAAGTCTACAATCTGAAAGGTGGTGGAGAACCACAGGTTGCGGAGTTTTATCGTATAAATATTGTAATTGGTGTATGGTAGAGGTAAAGCTACAGGTTATTTGTGGCAATCCCTGATTTGTCGACAAAGCAAGAGTAAGCATGAGAAATTGCCAGAAGCATACCCAAAGATAAGCTAAGCAAGCCTTCCCTCTGTTGCAATTCGGTAGTCCCTTTTAGAAAACCTCCTTATGAAGAAGCAATTTAATGCTCTCACACTCAAATTAAAATGTGTATGGTATTTTAAAATATTTTCTCACTCGTTAAAGCATTGGCGTATAGCTGAAACGGGTCAGTTAGGGAAGTAATACCAGTACATTTCTTTTTCGAAGGGTAAATACTATGGGACACATTGTTACAAATGGATTACTGTTTAAATTCTGGCTCATTACGAATCAATAAAAGGGAATATAATAGATGTTGGTATATTGTCCACCAAATGACCATTTAACAAAATATGATGTGAAAAATTCATTGACAAATATTGCAGATCCATTTTTCAGGAGTTTGGAAAAAAATTACTTAAAAGTGCTATTCTCGGGGATAAATGCAAGATCCATTTTATTGACAGTGGAATGTAGCTAAGTAATTTGTCAGATCGAGTCTGGGAATTGCGTATCATAATGTGAAAGCCACAATTGATCCAAGCTGCAGAGTTAATTCATGTGTTTGGGTGAATACATTTTTTCATGAAATCAAGGTGTCATAAAGTATATTTTTTTGAAAACTATTTGACCATCGAGTAAAAAAAATCTAACTTTTTATTTTTCTACTGATTTGTTACAGTATGACAATTGTTGTTCTCCCTGATTTAATGGCGTCCTGTTATTATTTTTTTTCAATCCAGGCATCTAGTCCGTTGCAAGTGAAGTATGCAGATGGCGAGTTGGAAAGGCTAGGTGTAATATAATTTCATTGTTCTTGTAAATAATATGTGCTTAAAATGGTTACAAAATTCTGGTGGTGCCAGTTTTTTGTCTAACTAGTGCTGAATTATTCATTTATTTCCTCAGTTTATGGAGTAGTTCTATTTATTTTGGTCAATAACTTTTGTGTTCTATTTTATCCAGAACACAAGCTTTTCGTTGGTATGCTTCCAAAAAATGTTTCTGATGCTGACCTGTTGGCTTTATTTTCCCAATATGGAAGTATAAAGGACTTGCAGATCCTGAGAGGTTATCAGCAAACAAGCAAAGGTACATTTTATAGGCCTGAGTTTTTTTTTTTTGGTTTTGTTTTTGCAAAATAAATTTCTTAGTTCTTGCAAATTTGGAGCCCGACTTTGCCCAGAGAACCTTTTAGGATTTCTAATTACTAGCAGGATGTGCTTTCCTAAAGTATGAGACGAAAGAACAAGCTCTTGAAGCCATAGAGACCCTCAACGGAAAGCATAAAATGGAGGTTTGTTTTCTATACCAGTTTCTTTTGATGGATAATTTGTCTTCTTCGAATATGTGAGTAGCTTTGAATTTGATACTGATACTATAAGCTGTACTGGGAAATAGTGTTAAATTACACATTTATTCCATAAGTTTGAATTCGGTGGCCCTTCAATCACCAAAGTTCCAGTTGTGTCATTTCATCCCTCAAGTTCAAAAGTGTGTTCCATCTAGATCGGTTACAAACTGACACTTGTCCAATTACATCCGGTTTTAGGAACAGAAGTTTGCAGTTGGACACCATTTAGGCACATTTGAAGCTTCATGGAAGAAATTGACAAAATTGAAACCTGAACCACTTCGGGACTGGAAAATTGTATCTAACCCTTGAAAATATTTTAGGTGTTGACTGATCGTTATGATATTTTCTTTATTTATTATACATTGGAAATTGATTTATGCAGTTCACTATTTTCTTATTTTGGTGAATTATACTTCGTAATTGACTGATGCAATGCTAGATTATAGTTGATAAACCACAAAATTCTGTTCAATACTGGTATGGAATACAAAAACCTGGGAACTTTACGAGTATGTCAATTTGTTTCTCTCCCCCTGGAGGCAAATTGGGGGAATCTTACAATTGCAGAATGTATCGTCTATTGAGGAGAATGGCCTAATTGTAGTGCACGTGAGGGTTCCACTGAGTAGTGAACCAGAGATTAGCTAACCCCTGCTAAAAATTATATATGCATGCCTCTTCATTAGTCAAGTGTCATCTCTCCCATCTATAACTTTGAATGAATGTCCAAGATGTAACTTATATATATGTAATTGTCGAACTGTTGCAACATGGTGTTGCTGTTTCTTTGTTGTTTTTTTTGGGGGGGGGGGGCGCACAAATAGAATTGGGTGAGAAATAGAAAATCGACCATATCAAGGATGTCAATGTGTGATATGTTTGTCACCTAGAATCTGGATTATTAATGTTTTAACAAGTATGCTTTGGGACATTTCACAGATCCTTACAGGGTGTCAATTTTCCCGGCTAGGCCTGCCTCCTTAATGAAATATGGAAGCAACAATGGCCATTCTCATGTTCTTATTCTTTGCACCCCTAGGATACATATGTATTTACTGCAGTGTCCAAACATATATGGCATGATGGTATTAAAGTTGCAATGCTCAAGCCTTTTGCTGTCTCCTTATTCTGAAGTTGTTATATCTTTCTAGTCTACATATAACAGAAATTAGTGGTACCATGGATTAACTGAATAAGTCAGTTATAATCTTCTTATTTTTTGCCATACCAGGGTTCAACTGTCCATTTGGTTGTCAAATGGGCAGACACAGAAAAGGAAAGGCAAGCTCGGAGGGCTCAGAAAGCTCAATTCCAGGTTTCTAGTGTGGCAAATGCTGATTCTCCACAGCATCCATCTGTATTTGGAGCCTTGCCAATGGGGTATATCCCCCCATATAATGGATATGGGTACCAGGTCTGTTTGCTTGTATTTTTACAAATCTGATTTATTTTTCATGTAAAAATGTGCCAACTGTTTTTTCTCGTCTGTTCTCATCTCTCTACTTTTAGACTAATTTTTCTGTTGTGTCTTCTTGTTCTGAGATTCTATTTTTAATTTTGAAGACAATATTCATTAACATATAGTTGTCTTGTAGTCTCCTGGAACTTATGGAGTCATGCAGTATCGACCACAACCGATGCACAATCAACATGTCTTCCATAATACGATTACACCTGTAAATCCAGGAAATGCACTGCGTGGAATCACCCCAGATCTTGCCTCTAGTATGGCCCTAGGAAACTATCCCATGCCATCACCGAGGTATGTGGGCTCTGCTTATCCAGCAGTGCCTGGGATTCAGTATACTGTGGCACATCCTGGGGGAGGGATGAATTATAGGCCTTTGAGTGGTTCTCCTGGTTCTGTATCACCTGCAATTGCAGGCAATTACGCCGCAGCATCTTCAAGTGTCAGTGCAAGTTCCGGGGGACAGATTGAAGGTTGTTAAAATATATCATCTATTGATTTCACTATGTTCTTTTTATGGTTACCAAACCGAAATCCTCTCTATTTACAGGTCCACCTGGTGCTAATTTATTTATTTGCCACATTCCTCAAGAATTTGGTGACCAAGAGCTTGCAGATGCCTTCCAACAGTTTGGTAGGGTCCTGAGTGCCAAGGTTTTCATCGATAAGGCAACTGGTGTTAGCAAATGTTTTGGTATAGACTCTTTATTTGTACTTAAATCTGAAATAAGTACTGTCAATAATTTTGCTTCTAATCAGCTTCTGCTTGCAGGATTTGTAAGTTATGACTCGCCAGCAGCTGCACAATCTGCAATTAACATGATGAATGGCTTCCAATTAGGTGGTAAGAAGTTGAAAGTTCAACTTAAAAGAGAAAACAAACAAAACAAACCTTACTGATTTGAAGGTGAGCTATGAAATGAAGCAGAATTCTATGCTATTGTGTGGTCACATGCAACTTGGTATTGGGGACATACTGCAATACGAGCTATTGTGGAGTGTGTGCGTCTGAGGCAATCAAGGTTATATTTGCTACAGCATCCTACTGTAGTTTCCACTTGGGATTTAAGTCCCTGAAACATGTAATTCTTGATTAATTCTGTGTCATTGTAATTTGTAAATTTGTAACACGGAATTTCATTCAGACATTGATTATTAATTTATTGATTTTTCCATTTAGAACATCTTGTGATTTATTGTTTAGAACTCCCATAAAAAAATCAATTTTTGCCTCTCCATTGCGATGTGATTTTGTTTTCTTCTCAATGACCTTGTTTTTTTTCTCTTCATTTATTTTCTTTCACGTGATACGTTTGGGAAGGGAAAATAATCCTGTGCTTCCTGGTGTTGTATGAGCTCACGTACCACCCCATACCATGGTTATTCTGATCCGTGTCAGTCATCATTTTCTAGTTAATGGGGTGCCTGTGCTGTGGATTTTGAGTAGCCATTGCATTCATACTTCGTCTCAAGGCAATATCTCAAAACGGCTTTTGAAATTTATGTGAAGTGCTTGTTCATCATGTGGGGATTCTGTTGAGGACATTTATTGTTGATCGGTTGATCTTCAGGTATTTTAATATAATATGCGTATTGACGTGTAGTCTTCTCTTATTTAGGGTGTGTTATACTATTTGCTATTAAGGTTCCTCACCTGTTCAGCATGGCCATGCTCTTGTGCAAGAATTCCCGAGTTCTGTATTTCTTGTTGAAACCTTTATTGTCCTACCCCCGTGGCCCGTTGTGATGCCATTCTACTGGTTCTACTGAATGCAATTATTGTAAAATGATTTCTGTTATGCTGATTTTTGGTGTTGATTTGTTTCAGGTCACAGCTTCAATTTCTGCTATCTCTTAGGTGGCTGGTCCATTTATTATGCAATTGTTGCCATGGGCAGAGTGAAGAAAATCATTCATTGTCCCGACTAACTCCTAGTGGAGGAGGTGCACCACCACCAGCTTGATGAACCATTGACCTTGATTAAATTGTCATACTACTGTCTTATGGACTCGTCAATTGATTGCGATCTTGTATTCTATCTGCATGGATCAATTTCTGCGATCTCTTAAGTATCTAGTCCATTTCTCGAATGATTCTTGCCATGGGCAGAGTGAAGAAAACAATTCATTTTCCTGACTAACTCCAGTGGAGAAGGTACACCACCATCAACCTGATAAACCATTGACCTTGATTAAACTGTGATACTGTCTTATGGACATTTACATGGATTGTCGGATATAACAGCTACCCAGCACCTAGAAACAGCACCAGGCTGTTTGTGTATGGGTATATTGCTATTTGGAGTTGTTATGTTATTCTTATGCTTTATTTTAGTTAAAGGATATTTATGTAGTTTGTGCTTTTATAAAATTGGGAGTGTGGTTGTGTGACCTAATAGACTACCTGTCATATAATCTCTCTCTCTTTCTCCAAGTTATTTTTCTAGCTGCAACCCCCTAAAACTTCACAATCTAACTGGAACATATATTGACATGTTCAAATTTTTTATTTGTGTAGGCCAATTGTTGATGCTGATTGTCCTGCAGGTTGTTACTCAATTTTGCTGATCTTTTAGTTTCGGCAGGATAAGCTCTTGAGTGAATGGTTCACAAAACAGCCCATGGTTACCACAATTCACTAAACGCCAGATAACCCACGATCTGCGTACATTGATCCCAAATGGAGTGGGTTTTCAATCCAGATCACCAAAATGGGCGACCCCAAATTGTAATACGAATCCTAAATCAATTTGTTTTAGTACATGTAGAACAAATATAAAATACATATTAATTGACAACATGTATATAGATTTATAATTATATATTGTTTTAGATTATAGAAAATCAAGCACAACTATAAGATAAATGGTAACTTACTTGGTGTATATGGATGTTCTATAATATATAATGTTGTATAGTAGTGAAACAATCTATATAGGAGTTTCAAAATGAATTGCAATCCAAAATACCGTACCAACTAAGTCTAACCCCATCATATCGCATACTTAAGAAAATGTTGTACCGTATACTCGTACTAGTACCACGTACCAAAGTGACCACGATATAGGTAACATTGAAACAGCCAGCCATAACCTGTGTTGGCACCTTGGTTTTTAATTTTCCTAGTTTCCTGAATCTGATATTTAAGCTTTCGCATTACATTCCCAGCACAAATTTTTTGATTTTTGATAGTTTGGCTTGTGTTCAGGTAAAAGCTGGGATACAAAAGAAAGTATGGTTTACAGATTAATGGATGAGATGTTAATGAGGTTGATATAAAAATTACCGAAATTCTTGAAAATTCATTTCTCAAGGTTTAACTTGCATCTCTCGAAAGGCTAAATTCACTGTAGGTAATGGGATGAGAGTTCATTTTCTGGAAGATATTTGGGTAGAGGATGTGTCATTTTCAAGATTATGTCCTTGGTCATAATATTGCCTCTTTGTTAAGGTCTCATTCCACACTAATTTCTTGTGATTTTGGGTTTTGTAGAAACTTAAATTATAGGGAGTCTTTGGAGTGGTGTTGCTTCTTTCTTTCATTAGTTTAGTCACTTTGAACCATGATATTTTGGATAAAAGACATTGGGTCATTGACTCAACGGGGTTATTCTTGTGTAAGTCCTTTTTTGATTCATTGATTGATGATTCTTCAATTCATTTTTTCATTCCGTCATTGAAGATTTGGACGGTTAAAGTGCCATTGAAAGTGCAAATATGTGCATGGGTAATTGCTCATGGTAAGCTTAATACTTGTAATATGTTACAAAGGAGGAGGCCGTCTATTTGTTTGTCCCTAGATTGGTGAGTTATTTGTAGAGGAAATAGTGAAAGTATGGATTATTTATTCCTTCATTGTCCCATTGCTTTGTCATTGTGAAGTAAATTATTTTAGATGGTAGGGCTTTGTTGGGTGGCTCCGGCGTCTATTTTATCAATGTTTTGTGTGGATTTTAGAGGTTTCGGAGAAGGAAGAAAATGTGAGACACTATGGATTTGCGTTTTATTTGTTATTGTTTGAGTTGTATGGATGGAAAGAAATGCGAGAATTTTTGAAGTTAGAATGGAAGTGAGGGAAGGAATATAGGAAAGGGCTTACTGCTCAGCTTCTTTTTATTTGGGCCTCGGTGACAAAGGAGTTCGAAGATATCCTTTAATATTGTATCATTTCCAGCTGGACAGCATCCTGCCATTGATTGATGCGGGTGTTTTTTTCTTGGTTTGTTTCTCTGGTTGGACTCCTTGTCCAACTTCACTATAGATGATTGTAATGTTTCTTTGTTTTATTAATAGAATGTTTGTTTCTTATTGGTAAAAAATTGGAATAGTGAATCCTGAGGAAGGTTTTGGAACAAGATGGATCCATGTTCATCCCAGCCCAACATAAGATTTTTCAGTCTTAAAATTTCAGGACATGAAAGCCTGTGGAGATTGTGGACACCACAGCAGTGTCAGGTATCCTCATCCTTTTTTTTTTTGAATTTTGATAATAATTTTCATCTCAAATTGCTTTAATAGTATGGCGCTTCTTTAATCTTCACTACTTTGGGCACTTTGGATTTAAGGTAAGAGTTGATTATCATTACATCAATCAATAATGAGATTGAAGGCTTCATTAACCGTTGACATAGAAACCCACCCGCGCAGGTAGCACAGTAGTGTGGAGTTAGTTAGACTTTGGGATGAACCAAAAACTCAGGTGTCTTGTGTTACACTCAACTGGTTTCTGTGATTCTTGGGTGGATTGCAGGTATCCGTGATTTTTTTTACCATGTAGGGATGGGTTCAATGTTGTCCTGTTTTGGAGAGGTTCCCCGTTACCATAAAAAAGTGGACATAGGAGTAGTTTATTTGCTTAGTTGCATACCTCTGAGTGGTTTCCCCTGTATCTTCATCATAGTTGTGTGGTCTTGAGCCTTGTATCTGGAAAATGCACGTAATTACTGATATATGTGACAATAAAAAGACTTTCTTGGAGCATTCTGTAAATAACTATCATATTTGTGTTAAAGGGTCTACCAATTTCCAGGAGGATCTGAGTTCTAAGCAGAGTTTCCAATTTTAGTAATAGGTTGTCAAAATTGTAAGCTGGTTGTGTGGTTCTGAATTTTGATTAAAACCTGCTAATGGTGTTGTAAGTTCATAGTTTACTCATAATATTGTGTTGAAGGTACATATGCAGGGCATATTCTTACTGTGGTTTGACTATGAGTTCTTATGGTGCTTATTACTTAATTTATTCTTCACGGACTATTTGGCGAAGCCTTAGATGATGACGGCTTTTTAGTGCTGAGTTTTGAGGACTTTGTAGATGAGCCATCTTCATGAGCATCCAGTAAATCTATAAGTTTAATCTGCATGGCCTTTGGGTATCTCCTGTCATCCCAAATGGGATGGATGTTCAGGGTTGAAATCTTGATTGGGGCCTGGGTGCATGCATACTTCTTGTGAAAAATACGTATTTCCATATTTTATGGTGGTTGATTCCACGATCCATCTTAGCGAATTCCTGATGTAGTGTTGTAATCTTTTCCCTCCCTCCCCTCAAAACCACGTACAAAGTTTCAGTCAAAAGAACTAATGGTTCTTCACTAGGGGCATTGTTATGCCAACTGTATAGATTGCATTGTAATAATATCAGAATATTTAATATTTTAAGCTCAATAATCTATGAGAACTTGTAGATTGTAAGAATGAATTAACATGACCATGGTCATGCTTGTGTGTGTATTACTTGCCACCACATGCTTCATTAAGTCATGCCACTATATTAGAAGTATATGAACCATGTCTACTTACACAAACGAAGTATTACTTTCAGTAAGTTTAATATTGATTTATGTGTTCCTTTAAGAAATTGAGTATTAATGGGGGCTGAGTCACGTTTCATTAATTGATGATCAATATCTTGGTTTGTTTGGTCTAAATGGAGTGAATTAAAGTTTAAGCTCTGTCACTGTTTTGTTATGAAGCACCAGATGTAATTTAGCTTGAAATGCTCTTCTGAGCATGCCCTTAAAGTTGACAACATAGCCAAGGAATTTGGAAGTTTCTTGCCTTTGTATGCTCTCCCTATTTGATTTTTGCTTCAAGTGATGCCAGCATATTCCTTGATGCTTTTAGTAAGTATTCTATGATCTTAAAACAGTTGGGATACTTGAGTTAAAATGCAGGTACCTCTTATCCACAATGGTAGAACCTGATTCATATAATCGATTCCATATATTTGGGACAAAGCTATGTTGAGATGACTTTGGAGACACCTCTTATATTCTTTGCATCTATTTGATCGTTTTGTTTAACCTGTGCATATTTGACTTCTCTCAACTTTTTCCCTGTTAATGTGGACCATGGAATTTGTAACTTTATTGTGTACACTTAGAATTATTGTCTTTTCCCTCGGTTAAATGATTCTCTGGTTCTTTTAGCCTAGAAAATGGTGACCTATCGTGACGTGTAATGTATTAGCAGATGGGGGATGATTCCAGCCACAAAAGGCCCTGAGCCTACTTCTCATTTCATCATCCAGTTTAGAATTAATAGTATATCGAAGATTTTGATTTAGTTCTCACTACCAGCTTTGATTGCAATTATTGTGTTCCTTCTAGATCTCTTTTTGGAATTTTGCTTATTTGAAAGGGGTTGAGAGCATAATTTGATGGGCCATATGCTCTGTAAGCTTGGAGTTTAAGTAGGGCACATATTCATTGCAATTATTTCACACTATATGCATAATATAGTTACATTGTTAAAGTTCGGATATATCTTGTATTAATTATTGCCAGTTCATGATAAACCTAAAAAATGTTCCTGCAACCGAGTAGTTTCAATTGTTTAGTAATTTGCATCCTCTTCAATCAGGACATAAGGGTAAGCCTCGGTGATTGATAGCCGATGTTGAATGAATATTATTGAGTTATTTAGAAGCCGAGTTTTTGATATGGTACCCTATTTTTAAAAAAAAGATTTAAATGCAACCCAAGTAGGGGTCTTTTTTGTTTTATTGAATTTTCTTTTTTTATGGTTTTTACGATTAATGTCTACAAATGAATTAGATTAAATTTGTTAATTAAATATTGTTTTTCTCTATAGTATTGAAAAGTTAGTAACCTAAGTATTGCCCTTAACTGATACTTGGCAATTTGATATTTGGTTAACATATGAATGACGAATAATGGGTGGACATGACATATCAGAATGGATCCCGGCGGCTTGCCTGTCGATTCCTGAATATTTCAGGCAGCAACAAACAATGCTTCGATGGGACGTGCTCTAGAAAGTCTAGACAAGCTTGCTTACTTGGTAAAAAATGGGGAGTGTTAGGTATCGAAATGTAATTTTCACAGTATGTTCACTTTTTGGCCAATGAAATCGTGCCATGTGTGCATATTTTTTTAATTAATAGTTGTAAATCATCTATTAGGAGGAACGTTACTGAATTACTAGAGCCGTGTGGGATATATTGGATGGGATTGTATGATGAGGATCTAGAAGGTGGGTGTTGAGTGGATGATTAGGTTAATGCGTGGTGGGGTCTAGATGTACAAAGTGCCTGCCCAATACGACACCAGCTAGGCTCCGTCGTTCTCTTCTTAGGAGGTGGGTTTTGACTTGTTTCCCCGACCCTGGTCTGGTTAAGGTACACGTTTTAATTTAATTCGAGTAGCTTTGCCCAATTTTGAAAACAAGGTGCAGACATTTGTTGACTCACTTGATTACCCAAACTTATCCACAGCCTGTCAGGTTGCTCTCAACATTATTCTGCATATCTAAGTTCATGGATTATGAGTTGGATTATCTCTTTTCTATTTTATCTTTTTCATACCTAGTAGGTAGGGAACTATTGTATATGGCCTTGGGGCAAATATAGATGTTACACTCAATTCTCTATTTTAAAGAGTTAATTCTTAAAAATCTATATCTAATAAGCTCTCTATTTAGATAGAAAGTCTAATTTGATTCTTTACATTTGGTGCGTCAAACTCACATTCTATTTGATCATTAATAAATGATATGAACACATCTATACTTTTTAATTAAATAAAAGACTATTCTCCCAATTAAAATAGAGAGTTTATTGGAGTTGTCTAAAGTAATTTCATCTCTATTTCAAATTTTTATCAAAGATGCTCTCTATTTTAAAAAAAAATTCTCTCCAAAATAAAGAGTACTATCGGAGATGATGTTAGATACTCAAATATGTCTTTTGTACTCTTTTTTTTTTCTTAATCTCAATTTATATTTAGCAAAAAAAAAAAAAAACCACATATTTAACTGATCTCCTCGCAAGATTTCTTGTGGATTCAACTTTTTTTTTTTTACTTGTAGTTTGTGCTAGATTTTTGTGACCTCCCACAGCCGCCAAGGTTTTAATTTGGTGGGTTAATCACACTAAATCTCTTTGAGCTATGGGCTATTTTCTCCTTTTTAATTTTGCCCTATGAATTATTGATTTAAATACTTGTATGACCAACTACTCAAATTCATGATATTGAACACTAATAAATTTTGAGCAATGCTATATATGCTACACCAAATTTGTGCACCAAATGGACATGAGCTGTTGGATGACAATGTGGCCCACCAGCTCATATTGAATTGGCGCACAAATTTGATACAAAATTTTGGTGTACATAACATTTTTTTTTAATTTTTGGACTTGGGTGAAGTAGTTCGCATGGATTATTTTTATCTAATGTTTAATAATTTGTTTAAGGTGTTACTTGTTTGAATAGTCAAGGATGTAATAGGTTTAAATTACTTTAAAATCAAGATCATAATTTAAAAGAAGAACAAAGTGTGATTAATCTTTTAGATTTTGTTGACTGTCATTTTTGTTTCTTGTGTTGTTTATTTTATGCTATCTATCTATTTGAGATGAGAAGGCGTACCACCTCCTTTTATCAAGTAATCCTATTTAGACCTAAAAATTTGATCTAATTTGTTGACATAATGATATGGTTTCAATTATCAACACCAAATTTCAATGTTTAATAGGTCCCACAGTTAATTCAAAAATCATAGTGAATTAGATCAATAATTAGATCCCAATAACATTGCTCCCTTTTACCATCATAGCAAGATGTTCAAACGGACAATTGAATGGTCCTATCCTCTCCATTCATTCCTGTCACGTTTCTTCTAATTTGGGCAAAGTTGAATGGCGAGAAGAGATTAGACCGATTGCCACATTTTTCGGTTTGTTTTGTTTTTTGGTAGCCTACTAATATTTAAGGTTGCAATTATCAGGAATTTTTATTTTCTTTCTCATTTTTTTTGGGAAAAAAATAAATATCAAATGAAAGATAAACGGCTAACCTTTGTGTATTACCTCAATCAATCGAACTTGCGTTTTTCACTTTTTTTAATTCATGTTTGTAATATTGTTGGGACACCCACGTGTAAGAATCCTATATCGAATAGAAAAAGAATTGAAAAAGTCTAATTATTGTTTAAATAGGATTATTAGTGACCAAATCAAATAAAAAATAAATTGAAAAAAGTTTTAATATATTGTTACTGAACATAAATATCACGCTGTATCTGAATAGATTTGGATTACAATATCGATGTAATTTTTTGGTCCGTTGGTATAAGTAGAATATACCAAAGTGAATAAATTGTATTGAATCAAGTTATATTTTATTATTTTTCCTATCTTAAAATTTTATTTTTCAATATATGGTATTATTATTAATTATCCGTTGTATCAAACTAACAAATATAAATTTTATATGATTAAAAATTTGACCATGGTATAGAAAAATTTATGTTCAATATTATACTCGAGTTAATCCAAAATAAGAGAAATTTTATGCCTCAATCTAATTAGGTTATAACAAAATATAATTATTTTTGTTATAACTCTATTGTATTCAACTGTAATTCGATTCGGAGAAAATAGTTATCACTTTCGATGTGCCGGAATAGGATTGAGTTATTGGCAATGGATTGTTATATTTAGATGTTTGTTCTATATCAGTAAAACCGATCTTGCAAAATTCTTGCAGTTTGTCGTTTTCCAAAGTAAATCTGTGGCTTCTAATTATGGAAATAGAAAAATTGGAAAAGGAGAAAAAAAAAAAAAAAAAAAACACAAATGTTTGCCGACCAGCCTTCTAGAATCTGCAATAGGTCTTGTCATGCGAGCATGATTACAATTCCTTCTAGAAGATAGGAACATTACTGTTTTATCATTATATATATTTGAGTAAATTACATTTTATCCCCTAAACTATTATCTTTATTTTACTTTGTATCTTTAATTATAAAATTTTTCACATTCTACCCTAATATATAAATTTTATTTTATATCACTCCAATAGATAATAATTGTCAATTTTTTGACGGTAAGTATGCATGTACGTGGTCTGTATTGTGAATAAGCAACTGCCTATATAACACATGGCAGGTCAAAAATTAAGAAAAATATTCATTCATGACTTTATTTTTTTTAAGTTTAANCCTAATATATAAATTTTATTTTATATCACTCCAATAGATAATAATTGTCAATTTTTTGACGGTAAGTATGCATGTAAGTGGTCTGTATTGTGAATATGCAACTGCCTATATAACACATGCGCAGGTCAAAAATTAAGAAAAATATTCATTCATGACTTTATTTTTTTTAAGTTTAAAATTTTTTACATTCTTTTTCTTCTAGAAACTATTTGGTTGCAAAACAAGTAAAATAAAGTGGTATTAGGCATTGGAAGGAAAGCTCTTTGGGATTTTCTTCCCTCCTTGAATAGATTTTCAATTTTGCCTTTATCTAATAGAGTGATATGAAATAAAATTGATACTTTAAGGTGTAATGTGAAAAATTTTATAATTGAGGGTATAAAATAAAATAAAGATAAAAGTTCAAGGGATAAAGTGTAATTTACTCTATATATTTCCAGTCGCCACAGGTCATTTTGGCCTCAATTATTCAAAGCACATATATTAGCGCACCCCAAACATTTTAAAGTGTCAAAGAAGACAGCCCACCACCATCCTTCCTTCCTTCTTTTAATGTATTTCTCTCATGCATCTTTATGAGTTCGTCTTCTCTCTCTCTCCCTCTCTGTTAGATATCAGTTGTTTTTATTTTTTATTTTTTGTGATTGATTTTAATGCTTTCTTCTTGGGGAAAAAAAGAGACAGAAATGGCTAGGAGGAATGTCTTTGATGTATGTCCTTTCTTGCTCTTTGAAGTCACCGGTGATTCGGAGGTCGATTCCGATCTGAATATGGTTGGTACAATAATTGAAGAAGATCGAGTTGAAGTTGCTGAGGATGATGCAGAATCATGCAGTTGTGAGTTAGATGATGATGTACGCCTTAACGAGTTCGACGATTCTGATCATAATCGAGAACATGATCATGGCAATGATCATCTCCACGAAAATGATAAGGAGGCTGCGGAGAAGGAGGAAGGAGAGGTCATTAATCAAGATTGGACTGGTGATAAGGGAGTGTTGTCCAGCACCAACAGTATCTCGAAATTTGTGATGGCAAGGAAACGCAAGAAATCCGAGGTTTGTGTTGATAAAACGTTGGAGGTGATGAATCAGAGGGACAGGGATAGACTCTTCTGGGAGACCTGCTTGGCATCTTGAGTAGGGAGTTAGGGACTAGTATTACCTTTTTTATTTTTTTTCCTTTTTTTGATTTACAAGAATTGTGACTACAAGTTTTGTCAAATTTTTTTTTTTTTTTTGGGTTCGTATGATCAATGTTTCGTGAAAGACAACTCCTAAACTCAGAGACTTGCGGTTTTTACATGAGGTATCGGAATTATATGCCTTTGTTGTTACTGCTGCTGCTGCTTAATTTTGAATGCATATTCTGATTGTTAGGTCTATGCTATAGACTTTGTTGGGTCCAACTCTTCTGAGAGTGACTAGTTTTTTTTTTGATAAATTGAGAGTGACTAGTTGATGTACAATTATTCTTCTGGTCTTTCCTTCTTTTTTTCCCTTTCTTTCTTACTTACGCGTGAAATCCGGGAATGAAATGGTTTGAATCATTCAATTATATTTACTTTTATCAGAATGGTTTGAATGTATTCAATTTAGTCCACAAACCATGACACAATTATATGATCATATTTTGATTTTCCCCTAGTTTATAGTCTTAATTGGACTATGTCCAACACTATCTATAATACAAGGATCAACGGCTAGAATAGGTCACATTTTAAATCAATGGTATCAAGTATTTTGGCGTACATATCGAAAAAATATTTTTTTGGTAATGTAGAACGACCCATAATACAAGGATTGAATCCTAGTTTTGATCTCGATCACAGAAATAATAATAAAAAAAAGAGAGGACAATCCCAGTAATGCAGAACATTTTCTGGGGGGAAATCTATTAATATACAAGAACTTTTTTTTTTTAATCCGTTCCATGTCAATCATCTTCTACAAATCGACCATACATAGTTCCAAGGAAGGATCTTCACCATGCCCTTACCTTCAGGACCTAACTGACACAAATCTTCCAACAAAAAATTGGTAAAATGTTACAAATCCATCAAGTCAAACCCTTTGACAATGAAACAAACAAACAACAGTTCAGCTTTGGGCTGAACCATGAAGACTGCCCTCCCATTCAACCACAAACAAACCAGTCCTCCGGTTGATCAAAGCCAAATACACATCAGCAATCTACAGAAGCAAGCATGGTTGTAGCGAAAACCCCAAAATCTGGAACTATTATAGCTACAAAAGACCGTGAAACTGGAATGTAAGTTAGACGGATTCACTTGGCACGCACAAAGGATTAGTAGGATCAGACTCCAACTTATCCAGCATTTCCATGTCAGTGGCTTCTCCACATGCTTCTGATGGGTTGTTCATGTCCATCGTTAGCCCCAGAGCAATCACACTGATCCCGGATTCTTCTCCATTAGTTATGCTCAAGCCAGAGGTCTCAATTTTACTGTCAGATAATGAGACACCAGAGTNCGTGTCCATCGTTAGCCCCAGAGCAATCACACTGATCCCGGATTCTTCTCCGTCAGTTATGCTCAAGCCAGAGGTCTCAATTTTACTGTCAGATAATGAGACACCAGAGTCCCCATTAATGGTAGAAATAGTTTTGGGACTCATATGATCTCTATGCAAAATACCAACCAGTTCTTCCCTGAACCCATTCTTTGCATTCTCATTCTCATCTAATTGCCTCAAGAAGCAATGTTCTATTTCACTCAATGATTCGACTTCATTTTCTTCTTCATCTTCGCTGCTATTGCTGTAATGTGGATTCTCATCATTGTCTGATGCTGGCCCTGTGGATTCACAGCTGGTATCCATCTCTCGTTGACTATCGAATTCCTCATCAGTTTGCCTATCAAATGAACGACTTGACATCAATGACATGGGTGAGTACCCTCCAGTTGTAGTCTCTTCACGCTCTCGTAAAGTCTTCACAATAAGGGTCTTGAGCAGGTTCATCACTTGAACAGCATGCATCAGAGCCGTCAATGGATCAGACATCTGATTGATCAAGAAAATGAGAACCCTCAATTAACACACGTTAAAAATATATTAGTGCCTAATCCTGGAAAGGTTTCTCCCATGACAGACTGCTATCCCATAGAAAGACGTCAACCATGAGACAAAAATAAAGATATTAAATTTCTACCAAGAGAGCAAGTGTCCCCAAGGTATTAAATTTCTACCATAGAACCACTTGTATATTTCTACCATAGAACCACTTGTATATTTCTTGACTATGCTCAGTCAGGGCATAGATGGTATGATGTGAAATCCAAAAATGTGGTATCAATTGGTTTTTAAATTTCCTTTTCAAGATTAAGTGATTTACCTGAGTCATGTTTGGAGCAAAAACCATGGCAATATTTCTGGCATTCATTTTGTTAGATTCCTCTTGCTCAACAACATCAGACATAAGGTCAATAGCCCAGTTGAGCAATGCGGTCTCAGTTGGCTGCAGCTGTTTCACAAGCTCAACAGACTCATCCTCTGTGTTACACTGTAAAACCTGTTCTGGGGAAAGCCCATCCAGCACACCTGAAGGAAGCTCTCGGAACCAGGCTTTGATTAGACCTGCCAAACAGTGGACATCAATGTCTTGAGGCACAATGCCTCGGTTCAACTGGTCCCTGACATGCTCTTCTTGGCTGTTCTCCGGGTTTATGCGGAAAATTCCTTCAGCCTACAAAAACACTCAAAGAAATTCAGTTAGGCCACTCGTTATAATTAAAAAAAAAAAAAAAAAACTGTGTAGGTGTATATGGAATGATATTATTGCCAAACGCACCTTTAGACCTCCTTGTGTATATAACCTCTCTTGCATTAGCAAGAGAATTGTTGGGATACTATTGCCTCTTGAATCATAGGAGCACTGCATTGATTCCGCTGAGACACCAAAAACACTAACACTGCAAATTTGAGTATCACAAAGTCAGCACTATTCTTACAAGTTAAGAGTGAAATATAAATTTGAAAAAAAAAGTCCAAGGCCAGCTTATCAAGGATGACAGAAAAGAAACTCTAACAAGCATAATTGCGGAATGTCACATAGCATATCTAACAATTCTTCTCCAGGATCTGCTTTTCTAACAGTACTCACTCTGTTTATCGAATTAATTCAAAAAGAGGGCGGGTCTTGACACAACAATAAGGTTGCTTCATTGTATAAGGTAAGGCTTAGCACAACTAACCCTCTCCAGACTCTGCAATGACCCCCAATGGCAGGAGCTTCATTGGGTACGCCCTTTTTAGGATCCCATCAAGTAAAGATTAAAAAGCCCATTTTCCATATTCCCTTGTAAGAAATTTGTGAAAATAACTGAGAATGGGCATTTTGTGTGCCATGATTTGACTAAAGTTTGTCATATTAACAGGTAGTTTTAGAGAGCTAAGCTGAAGTTTTGTTTTCCCAAAATTCTCAACTAGAAGTCTTAACAGTTTTGAATCACTCACTGCAAGTTCGTTACCCCTCTTTTTCTAGCTATTCACATCGCTCCACAACCTCAAATCTGCCATTCATCTAGAAACTCATCTGGGTTTAAATTGCGACCAATATACATGTGTGAAGATGGGCTCGTTCAATGTTCGAGTTTTAACTCAGCAGAACATGGAGCACACCTCTCTCTCTCTCTCTATCTCTCTCTCTCTCTCTCTCTACATATATGACATCGACAACAAAAAATTGAGATCTGAGCAAATTTGAAGGAAAACCCAGGTCAAGATTTATAAATTAGGGAAACCCAAGAGAGAAGAAGAGGAGATTCAAAAGCACCTGGCACTGGGGACTCTACAGGGGATTTCGACTTCGAATTCAACAGGAAGACCCAGAAACCCATGAAAACGATCGAATGTGACGTGGGCTACGTGTTGAACGTTGGTGGGCCACCCGATTTCCATTTGATGAACAGTTGACATTACTTCTTCCCTTCGATCTACACGGCAAGAGACCATGGATTTTCTCAGAGCTGCCAAGAGAATCGCCACCAGAGAGAGCTGGTTTTCCTCCTCATCTCCTCCTTTTGCCGCTTTCCCATTTCCTACTCCACCACCACAGCCACCTCCCCTTGTTATCATCACCACCCCTGTCATCCCTCTCTTTTTCTCTCTAGATTTTCTCTATCTGTTGTAATGGATATAGAGAGAGCGAAGTGAGTCTGAAAGAGCGAGTTGTTTTATTATGTGAAGCATTGATTTGAGTGGTTTGAACTTCGATGTTCCGGAGTTCAAACGGCCACTCGTTTCAAATTTTTGTCTACTCACTTTATCCGTTACATGACCAAACAAGCCTCACCTTTTACGAAGAACTACCAAAATGCCATTCCACCTAATTTTGTGATAATTATGCCTTTTTGGTGCGTTGTTTACCAGTTTTTTACCTTTACTTACTATCCACTCATCCGTCTGTTTAATTGCCTCTCTGTCTTTTCCTGTTTTATTGTCTTTGCTGTCAAGTTTTCAAGTAAAATAGAAGATTAAAAAACCAGCAATCATGATATTTTTTTATCCATTTTTTTATTTTTTTTATATATTAAACGAGAAAATAAATTAGACTCAAGCGTGGTTAGAAAGTGCCTATCTCAAATATGATAGGGGAGTCGAGACTTACCACTCTTATAGTGATTATGTTTTTCTTTTCTCTAATAAGAATATTATTTGTACTTAACATATTGACACAATTTATTGATTTAATTGATCGCAACCATTGAATAAATAATGAATTCTAATAAATATTGAAACTCACAATTACATTACAGTGATTGTTTAAATCAGCAAATCAAATCAACAGTTTAAATCCAAGTAACATTGTTCTAACTTGCTACTTCGATTACTATTTACAAAAAATTACTATAATTACTAAAAAATAGATTTTATTTTTAAAAGAAGATCCTAATATGTTGGGAGGGCAAATCTGGCCAGGAAGCCCTAATATTTGAAATGGTGAAGACCGTTGGACCATGGTGAATAATTGGTGATTGCCATTGGGCCCACTCCAATGTGGGACAACTTCGAGGAGGGGTTGTGACTTCTTGTGTCCACATCTGGAAGGATTTTAGCCTTTTGTTTTCGGGAAACTCTACGGAAATTAACGAGGTACCATACTGTCATTTCCTATTTTTTTTGGTAAAATTATATTTTATAAGACAGAAGTTACGACTGTTCAAAGAGATTATGATCAAATACACGTGATCAATCGTGAACCTTTTTGAGCAATTGTAACTTCTTATTTTTGAGTTATAAATTAATTTTTAAAAATTGTAATTTCGGTATCAATTTCAATCTATCATGATCGATAATCATCTTTAAAAATTATAATTTATATCTCAAAAAAATTATAATTTAACCTTAAATAATTATAAATTTCGATACAATACCTCCTTCGTTACCGTAACTTTGCCCTTTGTTTTCTTCTCTTTTTTCCTTTACGCAAATTTGTGCTTTGTACCAATAAATTTTTAGTTCAATGGTACTCCTTACCTTGTAAAAATTTTGTTTTCTCGAGATTAAAGGTTCAAATCTCTATTCCTTCCTTCCCTCCAAAGAAAAAAATAAAAAAATAGGTGCTTTGTCGTGTTTTATTTGAATTCTGTAGTGCCGGCGCGCCGTTGTTGAGTGTTGACATGAGAGAGACATCGCCGGCGGCATTTCCGATGANTCTATATATTAAACGAGAAAATAAATTAGACTCAAGTATGGTTAGAAAGTACCTATCTCAAATATGATAGGGGAGTCGAGACTTACCATTCTTATAGTGATTATGTTTTTCTTTTCTCTAGTAAGAATATTATTTGTACTTAACATATTGACACAATTTACTGATTTGATTGATCGCAACTGTTGAATAAGTAATGAGTTCTAATAAATATTGAAACTCACAATTACATTACAGTGATTGTTTAAATCAGCAAANTTAACAGTTGAGTGAATAATACAAGAGAATTAATGAAAAAAAGATAAATGTTGGGTTCAACAAATAGGTATATAATAGTTCAGTTAGAGTGACATACTCCACTCCAAAAAATGACAACGGTGACCGAAGAACTTTTATTAATAAAATAAGATGAGAGAGAGAGAACAAATGTTAGTTCTGAGAGAGATATGACAGCTAAGAGAGAAATAACTATGTGAGTGGAATGTAGAGAGATGCCCTNTATATTTTTCGTTAATGTAGTTTTTTATATATCAATTTGGTCCCTAAAATACTCAAAAATTTTACGGTCTGTAAGACTGTTAAACAAGTCAAGTTTGAACACTTTTTAAAGCTCGTTTATGTGTAAATTCAGCTCGATTTAGCCTCGATTTCAGCTCAATTAACACCTCTAATAGCCTGTCTATGTGGAGACCAAAATAACACAAATTAAATACTTTATGAACCATTTTNTTTAACTTGCTACTTCGATTACTATTTACAAAAAATTACTATAATTACTAAAAAATAGATTTTATTTTTACAAGAAGATCCTAATATGTTGGGAGGGCAAATCTGGCCAGGAAGCCCTAATATTTGANAACTATAAAAAGTAAGTATAATTAAAAATTGTCTTGATCTTCGAAAGTGGATATTCCGATAATTGCTCCCCATGTGCTTTAATTTCTTGAATTTTCTTGGACTTTTGCTTGGATTGAACTCACGAATTGGACTTGACATGTATTTTAACTGTTTTTGGCTCACTTAATTTATTGGAGCTGAACTAGTTGAATCTAGGCTCGTAAGAGGTTATTTGATATTATTGTGATTGATGATGAAATATTTTGGTTGATCATTGGTGGTGTAACTTAACCTCTCAACAAGATTAATTTTGTTAGGGTATCTAAAATTTTTTCAAATATACTTTTCGATATCATAGGAGTTTTCACATGTGAAAAGCACGAATTANAAATTATGATCAAATACACGTGATCAATCGTGAACCTTTTTGAGCAATTGTAACATCTTATTTTTGAGTTATAAATTAATTTTAAAAAATTATAATTTCGGTATCAATTTCAATCTATCATGATCGATAATCATATTTAAAAATTATAATTTATATCTCAAAAAAATTATAATTTAACCTTAAATAATTACAAATTTCGATACAATACCTCTTTCGTTACCGTAACTTTGCCCTTTATTTTCTTCTCTTTTTCCCTTTACAAAAATTTGTGTTTTGTACCGATAAATTTTTAGTTCAATGATACTCCTTATCTTGTGAAAATTTTGTTTTCTCGAGATTAAGGGTTCAAATCTATATTCCCTCCTTCCCTCCAAAGAAAAAAATAAAAAAATCTGTGCTTTGTCGTGTTTTACTTGAATTCCGTAGTGCCGGCGCGCCGTTGTTGAGTGTTGACATGAGAGAGACATCGCCGGCGGCATTTCCGATGATATTCGACAACTGTTGCGTGGTCCAAAACAGAGACACCAATAGGATCAAAATTCCCTAGAATGATTTCTAAAACAGTGCCCATCAAAATAAACAAAAAACACTGTGAATCAGTTTAGTAACAAACAACACCTTATTTCGATTCCCTTTGCTCAATGATGCCCCCAATGTTTTTGTTGGTTACAATTTGTTTTTGGGATTAATAGTGTTTTTGGTTCTTAAAGTATATATTTTTCGTTAATGTAGTTCTTTATATATCAATTTGGTCCCTAAAATACTCAAAAACTTTACGGTCTGTAAGACTGTTAAACAAGCCAAGTTTGAACACTTTTTAAAACTCGTTTATGTGAAAATTCAGCTCGATTTAGGCTCGAATTCAGCTCAATTAACACCTCTAACAGCCTGTCTATGTGGAGACCAAAATAACACAAATTAAATACTTTATGAACCATTTTTTTTTTGTTTAATGGTAAGGGATATTCCGGCCAACTTACGTACACATTGATTAATCCCTTCTCCGATTCGATCAAATACAGGTCATCCACGTAAAGACTAGAGTATTCTTAATTGATAAATTCTTCATGACCTGATCCCAATAAATTGTCACTCGCCTTATTTGGTACCATAACACGTGATGTCACAGATTTAAATCATAAAAATAATTTTTCATATGCATATAGGAATATAGACTTTTAATCCAACTCAAATTTGAGGGAGAGAGAGAGATGTATATTGAATTATCGTTTTAATCTATAATTATATGTAAATGGAGCCATTATGGTACCTCCTTGAGTGTTGTATCAAAAGTTATAATATATAAAGGTCAAATTGTAATCTTTTGAGAGTCTATATTGCTATTCAAAAAATTATGATCGGTGATAAAATATTGTGATGGATCTCAAAATTATAATATTTAAAGTTCAAGTTAAAACTAGTTGAGGTTGGTAAAGTACAAAATTGACTTATGTAAGATNGAACAATCCTTCTCGCTTTGATCGGATCATGTCGAACCCAATACTTAATATAACATTCTTAAAGACTAAAGTTAGCCCAACCCAATTGCCCAAATCCAATCCTATTTCTGTAATGCTCTGTTTGGTAGAGAGGATGAAAAAGTAGAAAACATGAAAAGTAAGAGTGATACACTTTCTATCCTTCAAGGATGAAAAATAGGAATGATACACTTTCCTTCTTTTATGTTTGATTGGATGGATGGAAAATAAAAATAATAATTATTTTTTTCTTGTACTAGCTAAGATTAAAGGTGATAATTGAGTCGTGTTGTATCAGATTCTTGTTGAGTCATTACGGTTTGTGTCGATTATTAGTCAAATCTAACTTAACTCATTTAGCTAATTGTGTCGTGTCGAGTTGCGAGTTGACTTATTTATTTTCGTATCAAATTTGAGTCAAAAATTTTCACCCTTAGTTAAGATGGAAAAAATATTTTTTTAATTAAATATTTTTTTAATTTTTTTAAATATTTTATCATTGTATTTTTATATGAAATTAATGTATACATAATATATGTATATATAAAAAGATATATTGACAAATAAGATACATCTCAATACAAATAATTAACTTTTCATCCACTTTTCATCCGATTTTGGAGGGATTGATTTTGGTGAGTTGGAAGGAAAGTTAATCCATCCACTTTTCTATCCTTTCTATTTTCCTTCCTTACCAAAACATGATATTTTATTTATCCTTCTAACTTTCCATCCT